AAATAAATAAATGTGAACTTGATATAAGTTGGGAAAGTTGGATTTCATAAATTGTTTAGCTCATCTTAATTAAATTTATCTCAACCGCAATCAAAGTAACCTTTGGACAGGTTAATGTTTTGTCCATTATTAATTTGTTATATTTTGATTTGTTCAAATTTAGCTCAATCTGCCTATTTAATATTGGCACACATACTTTAATATTTTTACGCTTCAATTTGTTTGTCTGGTATTGATTTGACGCAATATTTAATCACTTAATAGATTAAAGAAGACTTTTGAATCTCATGGTCTTAAATTCAAGATTTATATGTAGAATGTATCAAAATATTCTTTAATCTCGTAAGCTTAATCATGAAATGTGTAGAAAGTTGATATTAAAGAGCCACCAGATAGAGATTTTTTTTTAAATGAATTAAAAAAGAAAGAACAATAAATAAATTAGATCAAATGAAATATTCAATTTGTTATTGGTATAAAAACAAAAATAGAATAGAATGGTGACTAAATTTTACGTTATACGCCACTAGAGCAAAAAAGAACGACCTAAACACACCCATGAAATGAGGTTACATGCACTTTTAAATGAGAGCAAATAAATGATAATATAAAGAAAGTGGGCAAGATATAAAAAACTTATCTTATTTAATCTTTCAAGTATTTCCAATTAATAATATTACCACTTCCTTCCTCACTGCATGCATTTGTTGGGCCATATGCATGTGTTTGTCAAGTCTTTCTTAATTATCCATTTTAGCATGGATCATACCTCTTTTCCTAACTATTTGGTCCACCATTAGTTAAATTTGAAATCTTGAACATATTAACTTGTGCAATTCGTGCTTACTAATTGGCATATGTAATCTGCCACGTCTATGATTAGATCTCACTATCCATCAAGTAATTCTTAATTTTATGGGCAAGTTATAATACATTTTGTCGATCGTTAAAAAATAATAACATTCACTAGCTAGTGTACATGTATATGTACATAATTTGTTGCAGATACAGGCAAACTTAGGCCTAGAAAATATAATTCCTCTCCTACCTAAAGGAAGATAAATGATTTGTTCTACAATTTTGATAGGAATAAATTGAACTGTTGCATTGCACTGCACACTTCTATATGTATATCTTTTTGGGAATTGGCCTTCGAATATTTAAGGTTCCAAGATATTAGGGAAATCAGAACTATTTATTTTTATATAGTGTGGGAAACGGATCAATAATCTTTGATTAGAGACCTAGTACATTTAATTAGTAGTACCACATATAATCTTTTTTTTTATATATTATATATGTGACTTGGTCCAAGTAGTCATGGCTCATGCTTTAAAAAGATAATTTCTTCCTTGAAAAATGTCATTTTCAAAATATAACACCTTATCCATTTATTAAAAAAATGCAATAAGAGAAATGAAATGAACCATTAAAACATAATATGCCTTGAATTCCATAGGAAAAATAGAAAAAAAAAATAGAGGCATTGAATTACTTTAAAGTTTATGAATTATAGTGTGATATAATAGAGATTAGAGATTGGAACGAGACATTGATGTATCGGAGTGGCATGATTAATTACTTTTGTTAGAAAATTACATGTAAACATTTCTTTTTATTAATTGTTGAATCTGATTAACATAAAGAAATATTTACAGTATAATGACAAAGATTTCAAAAAAAGTCTAATAATGTCAAAAACATATTTGGGCTGAAACTCCACTCTTCAAAGTTGAACCATTGAAATATTTAAAATATAGTCACTTTTGTAAACAACATTTAAACAATAACACCCCCTTTAACCTTTTGACACAATGGCAACACAATTAACGGTGTTCCTCGATTCTTTTCTTCTTCCTCCTCTTTGGCATTTTCCTTTCTTATTTGTCTACACTTTCTCCAGATTAGTGAAAAATAATGGAGAAATTTGAAAGTGAATACCCCTATTGATTGATTGTAATATCGAATTTCACTCCGCTACAGTAGAGGTATGACGAATTACTAATTTTATTTTTGTTTTCTCAATCATTGCAACTTTAACTAGATTATACCCGCTGTTTTTTATTTCTCTAAATATTTATATGAAGGAGCTGGTTTTTTCCTCTATTTTTGTGGGTATCAATTTCGTTTAGCCAACTAGTTTGATTTATCTTTCTTGTGTCTGGAAATTAGAAGTTGGATTGATGAAGGTTTCTGTAAAAACCATGATATTCTGTGTTTGGTCAACCCTTTTCTTCCCCGAGGATTCGACCTGCACCATTAACGTAGTGGATGTATAATTGCATATGTAGAAGAGTTTATGATGTGAAGTGATAAATATAGCACAATATTTTATCACCCGCATGAGTGTTTTTTTTTTAGCTAAATGACATTGGAAATGTTGACGAAAATGAAATCTTTGTCTTGGAAATCAGCTGAGTAATGGATTTCCTTGCAAAGGCTTCGAGGGTAAGCGATAATTTACTCATTCTCAAGCAAAAGATGAAGTACAATTTAAAGCCAATGAAGAAGCAAATTATGCGGTATTGGGGGAGACAGAATTTGAAGTTTATGGGTTCTAAACTTTCTACTGACCTGTAGCTTGTTTTAATTACTTGGTTCGCAATTAAGTAGATGTTTATTTATATTTAATGGATCTCCTAATACAAATAAGGTCTAGGCAAAAGCTACTAGGTTCTTCCGAACCCGTACCTAATATTGTAGCTCCGCCCTTTTATACTATGATAGGCTTCTTTTGGTGCTAAGGATAAATTAGTGACCTTATTATCTTAAATAGATAGATCCTAGATTAGAAGAGCTGATATAGGCATATAGCTGCTGCTCCAAAGACAACTTTGAGGATTGTTGCTAACCTGTACTTGTTTTGAAGGAAAAGAATCACTGAACAAGAGCAAGATTCACAACATTGTCATCAGATCTCCTCAAATTCTCCATAAACTAACACACCTCACGAGTCAGAATCCCCTCATCATCTAGATTCCTCCTTCTTCTCCCATAGTCTAACAAGGTTTCTTTCAACTGGATTAGCATTAACCTTTATACTTGATAATTGGCTATGCCTAATCCTGATAATTACACCGTATCTGTGCTAATTTTGAGTCTTGGAGCAAGTAATCCTTTATGACAGTAATGCTGCAGAAATTACTCTGGCCAAGTTTTGGACACGTGACTTAGTTAGTGTTATCTCTCTCTCAATCTTTAGTGGGGATGTGCGATCATGTTCTCTTAATAAAAGATATATTGTGTCAAGGATTAATAACTGAAATACGGAAAAAATGTTAGCAGTGTTTGAGGTAAAAACAAATTGCGAGGCAGGTGCCTTACTGCCTTTCCTTCCATTGTGAAAAACTTTCCCTATGTTTTTATGTGCTTGTGTTCTCCTTTGACTTAAATATACCTTTTATTGATTAGTAATTTCATTTTCTTTATTACTAATCTCTATATGTCTACATTGAGAACTTCAGAAAAGAGTGCAGGTTCCCTGTTACCTGTAACTAAAATATGGAAATCCATTTTTTGTTGCAGTTCATCTCCAAGTTTCTTAAAGTAAATGGCATATTTGCATAATTTATTTCTATTGCATCTCAGTCCCTCGTCTGAGCTCTCTATCTATACTCCTTGGTATCTTTGTATCAACCTTTATTGTCCAACCGAATCCAGTCTATTTCTCCCTGGCAATAATGATCTCACTGCTGTTGGTCTGCAAGTTCTGAATATAGTATTTACCCAACAAATCCATTCAGTATCAATAGAATTTGTTCAATACAATATACAGATAGATGTGGTGATAACCTGATTAAGTACAAGTGTCATTATACCAGTTTGCAATTTGCGTATAGGGCTAATCTGATTTCAGATAAACCAGTTTGCAATTTGCGTATAGGGCTAAGCTGATTTCAGATAAACCAAGTTAATTTGCTTCTTGAGCTTCTATTCTCTGTATATCATGTAGACTGCAGAATGAAGATGTTGGATCCAATAGATAAACATGAAGTGAAAGGTTACAAATTTGTAATTTTTTGTCTGAGCCAAGTCTTTTACATGTTAAATCCTTCCTAATTTCAAATTTGAGCCTTCCAACCAGATTGTTAAGCTTGCTAATGTGTCTGATGACTTCAATTTCAAACATTTCAACAAAATGAGACTTTTCTCGAGGCCCTAGTAGGAAAGGGCCTTAACCTTGTTATTCTTTCTAATTTTGTTTCCATGGAACTGCTATTTCTTGCTGATTAATACCCACTCTGTTTCTGTTCGCTTCATCCAACTTCATTTTATGCCCAGTGTTATCAAAAGGCGAAAAGCGCAAAAAACCTCTAAGGTGTGTGGGGGCTATAAGCACAAATAAAGCGTGGGCTTTGATGAAAAAAGGCGCAAAGGGAGAAAAGAATACAAATATATATGTTTAGTCCAAGACTAATAATTATAAATATGAATGACAAATATATGACCAAAGAAATTGAAATTTTTTATGATAAAGTGAAATATCAGTAATTTAGTGTCACTTCTTCATAAGAGGCTCATTGGCAAGGAAATGTTTGCCTTAGAACTTTGATGACAACATTGAAGCGCACATAAAGCGAGGCGAAGCGCTCAACACGTTTTGAGCCTCGCTTCAGGGCTTAAGCGTGCCTTTGATAACACTGTTTATGCCTAAAATAAATTTAGACGTAATTTCTGGATGTTTGATGTGCTAATATTAAAATTCAGATAGTGGTGCAAGCATATGAATTGTTCTGACATGTACGTGTTCAGACAAGTAGCTTCATCTTGTGAAGGGTCCTTTGTTTGCCCAATGATTGATGAGGGAAATTCCTTATCTGCAGACTACTCATCTCTTGCTTGGCCTTATATCAGAACTTGAATCTCTTATGAGATAACCACCTAAACGTCTATATCATTATTGCATTTTTTGATTTACGAAGTAATATGAAGATTTGTCTTCTGATTGTTGATGATCTAACTTTACTTGACAAGGTACCATATATTCAATCCAGGCAATTACAGTCACAGACTCACAGTTACTCCGTTTGGTCACCTAGCTTTCAGTTTATGAACAGAGGGTAATGGCATCTTTAACCCACCTGCTATCTGCCACATCGGCAGTTACTTTGCAACATGCACGTCATAAACAGCTGCAATTGGTGAAAACCCAAAAAGTGCCTAGTAGAATGACTTTTCCGTGTATGAGACATAAGCCATTCTCTATTTGCTGCTCAAAGCAATCTCCATGGGAACCTCCACCTGTCACTTATGTTCCTAGTGATAATATTGAAGATAGATTTCTGGAAGGAACAACCAATATATTTGAAACCATGTCTTCCGGTAAACCAGCTGAATCTTCATTAACTGAGGCTGAAGGGCTCACTGATGTAAAAAGCCAGCCACCATTGCAGCTCCAATACCTTCGATGGCCTGTGTGGCTTCTTGGCCCTGTCATTCTCTTAGCCACTGGGATGGTGCCCACTTTGTGGTTACCTATTTCATCAGTTTTCATTGGTCCCAATATAGCCAGCCTTCTTTCCTTGACTGGACTTGATTGTATTTACAATCTTGGAGCAAACCTATTTCTCCTGTTAGCCGATTCTTGTGCTCGCTCACCAGACAGCAGTCAAGATTCCACCAGCAAGCCGCCTTTCGGTTATCAGTTATGGAACATGGTCGCAAACGTTATGGGTCTAGTCATTCCCTTGATAGTATATTTTGCTTCTCAGAACAGTTTCCTTCAACCTCAACTTCCTTTCATTTCTTATGCTGTGCTCTTGGGTCCCTATCTTCTGCTTCTATCTATACAGATACTCACAGAGATGCTGACATGGCATTGGAAGTCACCAGTATGGTTGGTGACACCAGTAGTTTATGAAGCGTATCGTGTTTTACAACTAATGAGGGGGTTAAAGCTCAGTGCAGAACTCAATGCACCATCATGGATGCTGCATACCATTAGGGGGCTAGTCTGCTGGTGGGTTCTCATTCTTGGCATGCAGCTCATGAGAGTCGCTTGGTATGCTGGTTTCACTGCTCGGGCTCATCAGAAACAGCTCCATCTTGCCCAACGCTGATTAGGTCCAAATCATGCAACTTCCTTTTCGGGTTTAAAGAAAATGGTTGTATATGTAATTCAATTGTTACACACTTCCTTCATTTCCCCCCTTTTCTTCCCATTTCTTGTTATTGTTATGTTATACATAAGAAGTTGGCCTTCAGAGATTACAACTATGATGTATGATACCAGAAAAGAAACAGTAAAAAAGCTTATTCAACTAGATATTTGTTTATTGAAATATGCTTGCAGATTCTGTCTACCTATGAACATTGTGCTGATTGCCTGTTGCATGAACTGTGAAAGGGATAATTCTGATGGAGGTGTTCTTGCTCCCCTCAACCTCCACCCCGCGCGAAAAGAAAGAAGAAAAATCTTATGAACAAAAGATGTCATGAATTGGTGAAATAATCTTTAGAATATACAAAAATCCTAACAATAACAAAAAATATTAAGTATTTTTTTTTTATTATTAAAAAGTTCGAGGTACTTATAAGATGGTCCGGACATTACTGTTTAAAAAATACGTAATAATTTTGGAAGATGAGAGTAAAAAAAAAATACACAATTTGTTTAAAAGATGGTGGGCTGATTGCTGTTGGTTGTTAGTGACTGATCAGTCAAAAATTCTATGGTTGGAAGAAATCATTTGTGGTGGAAATATGACCAAACTATATCTTCCTTAGACTTAAAATAAGTGTGTCATGATATGATTGGCAAATGTTTTATTGCTTTTGCTAGCTTTCAAAGTTATCACATGTTTTTAATTAATAAAATAAATCTCACCAGCACATATTAGAAAACTCTAGTTTCTCATTATTGGTTATAGCCTTTTAGGTGAGAGAAACATTTTCGATTTTTTTTTAAAAAAGACTACTAAAAAGAATAGTCCATATATATATATATATATATATGCAGAAAGGAAAATCAACGAAGCTACATGGTAATTACTCGTATCATTAGCTCTAACTAACTCTTATATTTTTTAATATTTAATACTCTGAATATTTCATTCAGTCACCATCCAACTTGGTGATGTCAATATCAACCTTTGCAAAGTAGTAGTACTCTTTTTTAGTTACAAACCCAATACCATAAATAAACAAGCAAATCTATTCTTCCTGAATTTTTAATTAACAAACACATTATTTGGGAATTGTCCATATAATTAACAACTTGTTTTTTTTTTGTTTTTTCAACAGTAACAGCTTGTAAAGATGATGGCTTGCTTTCATTAAAAAAGACAGCTAAAAAGGAACCATTAGTGAAATTTTAATACATTAGTTTGTTAATTGTGCTTTTGCAATCACCTTTTGTCTTCACTTTTTAATGCTAATCCACTGGATCTTTGGCGTCGATAACATTGTTTCTTTACCTAAAATAATTTAACAAATATGTGAGTTGTATTAGGTACAAAATGTAAATTTTGTTTCTTTATTTTTACAAATAAATTAATTTTTATCTTACGTTTAAATATGTGATATAAAATCTACCCGACATGTGAATTACACATGCTATTTAAGAATAATTGTACCCGGCCAAACACATTTTTTTAAAAAAAAAAAATAATCATGTAAATAGATAGAGTAAGAGTAGTGAAAAATAGAAAATTAAAAAAGGAAAGAGATATAAAGCCACCTAACAAAGAAAAAAGCCGCTTACCGAATTTAAACAAAACCAGCATGGAAGTCAGTCAAACGACACTATCGCACGTTTCTTACTTGGCATCACTTTAACCATATCCTCGAGATCCTCGCCCTGAAACTCTCTCGAAATCCCACTCCCGTCGCCGGAAAACCGCTTCTGCTCCGCCCGAAACCGTAGTAGAAGTATAATTCCCGGCTGATTTATAAAATTATTGAAAAGATCGCGGTCGAAATGAGTAACGGGGAGCTACTTCAAATCCACCCAGTAGAACTTCAATTTACATGTAACGTCTCTCTGTTAGAAACTTGTACAACATTTTCTACCTTATTTGAGCTTTCCAGATCCGTGTGTTGTTCCCTTTGTTTTGATTTGGTGTTTTTTTTTTGTGTGATGTTGAAAATAGTCGAATTGAAGAAGCAGATCGCATGTTCCTTGCAATTGAGCAACAAATCAGATGACTATGTAGCCTTCAAGGTATCATGGAAATGCACTGCAATTACTTTTATTTTTATTTTTTGAGACTACAATTTTTTTTTATGTTTTTGGATTTCAGGTGAAGACGACGAATCCAAAGAAGTACTGTGTAAGGCCCAATACTGGAATTGTGATGCCTCGCTCTACCTGTGATGTCATAGGTCTTTCTCTTTCACACTCTTTTCGTTTAATAAGCATACTCTGTTTGATTTGTTCAGTTTGCTAAATTATCTTTTTACTCCCTCCGTTTACTTTTACTTGCTATACTAAGCACCCGATTGACCATGAGAATTATTCACTGATTCACTTATTTAAAAATTAGTGTTTGTTCATCATTGTATTATGCAATTGGAAAAACATCCAAAATCCTGCTTTCACTCTTTTCCATTTTCACTATATTACTTTTTATCAAATTACCCTTAAATTTGTTATTTTATAAACTACACTTTATGTTTAAATCATAGTTTTAGTAAAATTTCATTCAAGCAACCAAATATTATTTGTAAAACTATAACCAAACACAACTACAGTTTCAAAATTTCAAATAAAATGAAAAAATACTTGTAATAGTATGTAGTAGCTCGCATATCTATGACATTATGTGACTATCTATTTTGAGATATTACTCTTTTAGAGCAGATTTGATTGTATGTTTCAGGTAAATTAGTCAATTTGGGGTTTTTAGAAATTGGGGGTACAAACCATATTTAGAATAAAGTATATTCAAATTATAAATATTCTTTGCAAAAAGTGTGGCCAAACACAATTCCAACTACAACTTCAAAAACTCCAAATAGAGTGAATAATATTTTATTTTTATGGCCAAAGCCAAACGCTACTAAAAATAATTTAACTTTTACTTGTCCACTTTAGTGTATTAGGAGAAACTTTTTTTTCTTTTCTTGTTTTACCTTTAACATTAGCTACTCATTTCCCAAGTCCATTGAGACTATACACCAATTAATATGAGTATTATGATAAATATGCACTTTATTTATTATTTCTTAAGGGGAGTACAAAGTCCATTGTGGACAACTAAAAGTGAACATAGGGAGTAGTAGTTTGGGATTGAGACATAGTATTAGTTGATGTTGTAATTGTTCTTACAATTTATGGATTCAGTTACAATGCAAGCACAAAAAGAGGCACCACCGGACATGCAATGCAAGGATAAGTTCCTGCTTCAAAGTGTCATAGTAAGCCCCAGAACTATGGCTAAGGATATAACTCCAGAAATGGTAAGATTGTTAAAGTAGTGTTCTTGATGTTTCAAGTGTTAACTGATAGCAAAATCTGTTCGTATTGTTGTTTCTGCACTGCGAATTGTTAATTGATGAGAATTAGCAGGGTTTTATACACGTTTTTTTGTTCTTTTAGTTCAACAAAGAGTCTGGGAATCATGTTGAAGAGGTCAAGTTGAGAGTGGCTTATGTTCCACCTCAACCACCACCATCACCTGTGCGGGAGGGGTCCGAGGAAGGTTCCTCACCTAGGGCTTCAATATCTGAAAATGGAGCTGAGTTCCACAATGTGAGTTTTAGGCATCTTTCTCTCAATGTTATTGAAGATTAAAGATTTATTTTGGGGGTAAAAGTCTGGCAGAATTCATTTGGAATATGAGATATCCTGTTGTTGTGCAGGCTTCAAGGACATATGCTGAGCCACAAGACAACTCATCAGAGGTAGATTTCCTTTTCCAGAATTTAAGATGTTTCTTATGGTGACTGATAATTGTCTATGTTGTCAAGTATACGCACGCCAACAAGAACGACTAAGTTTCTTATGTCTAGGAATCAATAAATTGCTTGGCTAGCATTCATTTTGCTTATTGTTACTGTAGCACATTGTTGGATAGTCAGTATATATCACTTGAGTTCCATGACTTTGCAGTTTTCAAGAATTTTCCTTATTCCATCATGGTAGAGCTATTGGTGTCTGTTTGTTTATTAACTTCCACACATTGTAATCTACCATATTGCTTTCTGTGCATTTATGGAGAATTTCTATTGATGTTTATTCATCGTAAACCTTGTTGTTCTTAGAGTCTGGTTTGAGTTTTTTTTCCTCAGTGATTTGCATTTTGGCTGCCTGGGACTTTTCTTAACAAATTCTTGTGTTCCTTGGTTAGCTTGAGAGAGTATTTTCATCCTGTCTTTTTTGTTTTAACTGTGAGCACACCCTATACCCTCTCAAAGACAAAAAGGAAAAAATAACTGCTATGTTTTATAGATATTATATAGGAAACATCCGTATATAATAATTAGTTCTCGAAGGGGATTACAGATAGATTTTGGTCTGTTTTGGTCATCCAGTGTAGGCTGTTTGAAGATAAAGAGATTAGGATGACACTTATTTTATATTGGTTGCCCTTGATGGGAATTAAGGTTCAATATGGCTAGCACTGGACAAAATCTTCCTGAATACTACTTGTTTCTTTTGTATGATTATTCTTATAAATCTACCATCATCCAGTGATGCCTGATGAATAGGTAGAGAAGCTTTTGTGTTCTCACCTGCTAAATGGAGAACATGAATAGCAAAATGCTTCATTTGTCAAATTAAGCAAATGCTGAAATTATGAGCCAAATAACTTAAACTTTACCTTATACAAAACGGAATCAAATTACTTGAATTTTAGAGGGGATGAGAGACAAGAATGGAAAAGTGCTATGATTACATCAAATCCAAACTTCCAAAATTGAAGTCCAAATGAAACAACGGAAGGTAGTTATCCAGTTTTTAGATGCATCTTAATAAGGATTCCGAGGGGTATTATAGCAAAAAGAATATTACACATAGCAACCTGCAAGACTTTGTCACCATTCTTAAAAAACGTAGGGATCTTAAGACTACAATCTTTTAGGGCCTCTGTGATTTGAACATTTAGAATTTGTCTGGTTTGTGTCCATTTTTTACACCTTTCCTGTGTTGTGTTCTTATACAGTGGCCAAAATTTATCTTGAAATATTCTATGTTTTAAATTTGAATCTATAATTGAGTTTGTGATTGCAAGGTGTTAGCCTGGCATTGGTTGAGGGGTGGTCCATATTGTCTTTATATGGTCTAGTATGATCCTTATCTTACGAGCTAACGTTGGGGTTGGCTCAGGTCCAAGGTCTATTAGTTAAATACATCCTCAATGGAGCCTTATCCACGCTCCAAATATTCATTCTTGGGCGTGCGGGGATGTTTAAGATTTTTACCCTGGTTAAGGGCATGGACAGTAGTCTCCTTTTCTTTTTTCTTCTGGTGAAGTTGATTGTAGTCTCTTTACATGATTTTGTACCTCACCTCACGATAAGTAGGATAAAACCTGTCAGCCTAAAATCTCTCTCTGAAGTTTTTGAGTGGAATCATTTGGTTCAATCTTGGTAAAAGACACTGTCATTTTCTTGCATATATGGTTAGCTATATAAAACTTCTAGTTTGAAGCTCTAGTCACTTCTTAGGTTTTTGTAAATTACAAGTAGCTAATGACTGCTTCTCCCCTACATTGTTTTGGCTTCAGCAAATGCATTTCTTTATTATTTTTCTTTCTTTCGTTCAATGAATACTTGTTTAATACAAGGTGGAGGTTATGCAAAGTTTGTCGTTATAACCAAACCGATTTTGTACACTGTTATTCCCTTTAGAAAAATGAAGAAGATGCAGCATAGCTATTCAAGAAAAAGAATATTGAGGATTCCTTTTGTTTTATTTGCAGACAAAAGCACTAATTTTGAAGCTGTCAGAGGAGAAAAAATCTGCAATACAGCAAAATAACAAGCTTCAGCAAGAATTGGTAAGGGCCTTAAGATATAAATTTATGTTACTGGTTTTCTTTGTCAGTGTCTTTATCAGAATTTTTGCAACTTTTCACTCATCAGCAATCTCAGACTTGAAATGTTTCTGTTTTCTTTTTATTCTTCTTTTGTCCCCTTTCTCCTGTAAAGAGATTCAAGGGTTCTCAAGAAAAGGATTGAGCTCTATTCCATTGATGATTAGAGAGGGGAGGGCTAAAATCATACTTTTAGAGAGAGCGGAGATCTAGCTTATTGTGAGAGTCAGGAGGGAGGGAAACTACGTTACTGGTAGGTTGGAAGGAGATGATCCTCGGGTGTTAAGTGGCACCGAACGTATAACGATGTTCGTTTATGCAGGCAATGACAGAGGGTGGTTGGGAAAGAAAGGAATAGCAGATGTTTTTAAGATAAAGCTAACTCAACATAATAGATCAAGTTCAATTATATACTTCCGCTTTCCTTTTGGTGTAAGGAGGAATTTTGTAAATGAAGCAGAATCAGTACTTAGCCTCTTAGGAGTCGTTTGGTTTGAATTCAAGTTATGATGGGATAAGTTATGTTGGATTAGTCATGATGGGATAAGTTATGCTAAGATTATTTTTTATTGAGTGTTTGGTTTGTTATATTCAAAATAATAAATCTTAAGAACAACATATAAGTTTACAAAAATACCCTTCATGGATGTGAAAAGTAATGTATAAAAAGTGTTTAAAGGGACATTTTTGTCATTTAATCATTTTATCCCGGGATTACTATACCACCCATGGGAAGGGATAACTTATCCCGGTACTAATTATTAATCCGGGGATAAGTTATCCCGGAATTGTCAACCAAACAACAAATTAAGTGGCACTATAATTTAATCCCAAGACTATTTTTAAGTTAACCTTCACACCAAATGACCCCTTATTCCTATAAGACTGGAAAAGGATTCTCCTTTTGCTTTTTGCTCACCCGTAAATGTGGCCTTATAATACAATTACCTTTCTCTCAAAAAGGTGGTTGGGAGAAATAAGATCTTTCTATTGACTTGGTCAGATATGTTTACTACCTAAATGGGTCTTGAGGTCTGTACACATGCATAGGATAGCCATTCTGTTTGTTGGCCAAGCCACTGTATAACCTTCCTGCATGATGAGGCGAGCCTCCTTTGTTTTATTTGTCTTCCTGATTGATTTTTGCTATCTTGGTTCTTGAATTAAATATGTTGTTTCCTTTGTTTGATAACTGCACGCCTCTCAATTGGATAAGGCTGGATCAGCTGCTATATCAAAGCATTGCCTTTTTTCTTTTAGTGATGTGAGTAAGATCAAAAGTCTATTTTTATTAGGGGAAATGACGCTATAGCTCTATAAGTTGTGCAGTGGACCTGAAAACAGGAGATAATTAGACAACCTCGTCATCAGTTAATGTTTCCTGAAATCTACCTTCAAAGGTGGATTAGAGAGTGAGATATTTTCATTATTTTGGTAATGAATCGATTAATCATGAGCTCTGTATGATTAGCTAATTACTATTTTTGATGCTGCGCTTGTAAGGAAAGTGTCAGGCTTCTGCATTTTGAAATCACTAGTTCTTGAACTGAAATTGTATTGGAAAAATGTTTGACATGGAACTGATTAGCAGCTTTGCGTTTGTTAGCGCTGCAAGAAATTCATTGTAGCCTTTTGAACGTTATCCTTAAACTTCACGAACCTTGTTGGGTGCAGGAATTGTTGAGGCGAGAAAGCAGCAGCAGACGTCGTGGCGGAATCCCATTTATGTATGTTATTATTGTTGGACTGGTGGGCCTCTTTCTTGGTTATCTTCTCAAGAAGACATGATGGCTAAAAGGTTGCTGCTACATGGTCAGTGCAGAGCCAAATGTTTAAAATCTAGAACCTTGAAGAAAAAGGTGACTAATCCAGTAAAGCTTTGTATCATTAGTTGTCTGGTTGACTTAAAAATGTACAAGACAGGTTTTAATCTGTTTTTGTAATGCCTGAGCTCGAGAGTATCATCGTGTGACTAACTGCATTTGACATCCTTTGCCAACATGTGAAGGAGACATTTTAGTTTGCCAATTAAGTATACTTCATGTTTATGGACTGCAGCTAGTTTTTGTCCCTCCACTAATAGTTATCAGAGTTATCTTATTGGCATGGATTTACTTGGACTAATTTTACAATTACAACCTTATTTTTTGAGATTTCATCCTTACAAGTCCTGCAATTTTCCGGTTTCTGGACTTACAGCGTATATACCATGGCATAATGGCGATTAAGGATTTTTTTTCTAAAGCAGCATATTGTTATTGGTATGAAGTCTGCAAAATTTTCAATTATTATCGTTAAGAGGAAAAACAATATTGGAATAGAATTGATTTAAGTTGAGCAGAATGGATAGAGCGGGTTTCAAACAGGTGCCCAACTAGTTCAATGATTGACTCAGAAAAAAAATAAAGATGGAATGAATCTGATAACTCGAGCTATAGGAGATAAAATTGGCTCACAGACTAATATACTCCATTGTAGTAAGATGCCACAAACTAATAATTTCATCAAATTAGAAGAAGCATTGATATATTTACACAAATAATGCATATAGAAGAATGAGCAGAACTCTCTCAGAAAGATAACAAAACAAGAATCTCTAGTTACTTACAGATGAGGACATGATCTCCTATGAAGAGAAACTTAATGTGAGGTCATCCCGTTCCAATATCCAGTGTCTCGTCTTCTTGAAGAAAACATGCTAGCTGGACGAATTGAAAAAACAAGGATAAAAAACTAACTACTACTAATATATAAAGTATACAAATGGACTGCCCTTCTTTCTTTCCGTTCTTAACAAAAGCCATTATATCACGTTTCTTCTGAATCCAAGCTCGAAAGCCATTATTTGAACCCTGTTGCAACCGTCAATTTATCTTGTGCAAGATTCTGAGTACCTTCTATTTCACGCTGTCAACTTCTTAGCTAGTCATGTCCAATATGGCATAGTCCTCTATTTCTTAAGAAGATTTAACTACTCATCATCAACCAGCATCTTCAGAACCTTGTATCATATTACATCTGACCACAATCTTGCGAAAATCATCCAGGCTCAACTGCAATATGCCGTATCAAAAGGTATGAAGGACTAAGAGAAAACATGAACCCAACTTAAAAAAACATACAGCTTTTAAAACAGACATTTGAGGGCAGATAGTCGTGGATCTTACCAAGTAAAAATGATACTGTCATCATTTTTGTGATCTTGGTAGACAGCACTTAGGAAATAACATTATAGCTACACCAAAAGAACCCAAATAAAGATAGCGACAAACAACTGTTCAAGTTTCTTTAGTCAGTTTTTGGCTTTTTGCCACTGAAGTTCATGGATTTTTTTTTATCAGAGCACCAAACAGGATAGCCACTTTTTTTCCTTTTCAGTTGCAGATGATTAATAGCCTACCTCCACAAAACTAAATACTACCATTTAATCTATAAGTCCCCAAACACTTCACAGTAACCTCCATGGTTTGGTGTCCAAGGAACAAAACCATCACAACAACAACACACCCAGTGTAATCCCACTAGTGGGTTCTGGGGAAGGTAGGAAGTACAAAGACCTTACCTCTACCTTTAGGGTGTAGAGGCTATTTCAGATAGACCCTCTCAAAAGAAAAGTAACTGATGCAGGAAAATAAGAAAGAAAAAGAGACAACGAAATAGCAGTGTGTAAAATAAGTGTAGCAACAAGGAACAAAAACCATGGGAGTTACATATTGTACTTCCCTTGAATAAAAGAAGGTATTAGCACTGTGTGCCCAGAGGTAAATGAAGTGTGTTGAGAACCATAAGGCTCAAATTCAAATACAGTGAAGGCAAAAAAAACTAGGTGGTTTCCTCTATTTGTCCAAGCCTTGGTGTACACAGTTTCTCGGAATCTGTGTTGGTGGAGGGTAGTAGGTAGAGGAATTAGTTGCAAGTTGAACCGGATGCCACAGTTATAAAAAAAGATAAAAAAGGAGAGAAGTTAGAAAGTTAAAACGTTCTTTTTTTAAAGAAGGATAGACATAAAAATTTGAATCTTATCGAACACTTAGGGTCTTATCAAATACTTTTTTAAACCAAAAAACAAAAGATTTAAAGGAGAGAAGTACCTTTCCGTCTCCATTAGAATCAAAACAACAAATCATATTTGCCAAGTCCTCATCTGACCATGTAAAATCATGGGAAACTACCATTTTCTGTAGATCTCTGAAACTTATACTCCCTTTTCCAGCTTCTGTGAGAGAGTACCAACTAATTAATGGGCGTATACAATCAATCTAGAATAGCTAGCAAAAAATTGATGGTAGAAGTGCATGACACATCAGATAATGATTTTCAATTGTGGACAAAAAAACTGTATAGCTTATCACTTTCACATGTACAAGATAAAACCTAATAAGCAGACTCAGCATTACCATCGAACTGAAAGAAATGCATAATCAAGTCATCCTCAGTCATCTGCACTCGATTTCTTGCCTGCTGAAAACATTTGTAAAGTACCCAAGTATGAGGAAGGAGTATGAGAAAGTTCAGAATTTTCACTGCTTTTAGTAAAGTAAATGTATACCTGTTGTTTTCTCTTCCTTTTCCCAGTAACATCTTCCTGATTGCAGGTACCTACATCTTTTTCATTACTGGCCTTTTTCAAAGAAGCTTTTTCATTGCTGACCTTTTTCAAGAAAGCTTTTTCGTTGCTGTCCTTTTTAGTGGAATCTGCATCAGTGCCTTGCATAGGCACTTTATTTGCAAGATTCAGAAAACCTGCTGAATCTTGTAGTGACAAAGCAATAGCCTGCATATAGATAAATAAATACTTTACTGTTGGATGGCTGAAGGAAAGCTGCAGGTTTATTTGCAAGGAAATGTTTTATTCAGCCTCCCACATAAGGGTGATGCAGATGTATCTCTCTGTTTTTATATATGTATAATATGCATGTTAATGAGACTTAATAATATATGTCACCTGCATTAAGGCAACATCATCGTCGACAAAATCTATGTCAGTTGGTACCGTTGTGTTAGACACTCTCTTCTGAGTTGTTTGATTTTTTTTCTTTGACTGCAACAAGAGATCCAAGAAAAGTTAACAAAATACCAAACTATAATATTTTGTCTATCCAACTTCAGAAGCAAATATAACAGGTTAAATGCAGGGCAAGCGCATTAGAATAGCAGCCTTTCCCAACAGACAGCTCCACAACTCAGAAATCAGATTTACTTGGACTCATTTTTCAATAGTAATAAGTTTCATTAAAAGAAGGGCAAAAACAAACCTGCATACAAGAAGTATAAAACCTTACAAAATGACATGGTTTTCTACGAACAACACCAAATATTCTATACAAATAAGAACCTCGTGGGTGAAGCAAAAGGATCAGATGTACTTTTTTATTTATTTATGACAAGGGAAACCCGCAGCCGCTACCCTTTGGGTGCGCACAGGGTAAAACCCCCGCTCCTATGCAATAGCTCACAAACCACATAGGAGAGGTAACCCGCACTAGGCAAGCCCGGTGCGACGAGCTCGACCCAGAAGGCAAACCCCTTGCTTTCGCTGGCAAGGAGTTTCGAACTTGAGACCTCCAACATGGGAGTCCCAATCCCAAACCACTGGGCCACCCCGAAGGGTAGGATCAGATGTACTTAGATTCATTAATATTAGATAGTTGTATTATTCATATCATTCATGTATTGTTTGCCCCAGCTAACAACATTCAGGAACATCAGTTTCCTAAATGTCAACACACGATAACATAAGGAATGCAGCCTGTTTTCATGAAATGTTTCAGAGCCCAAGATGCATATAATAGGCTCTATTGATAGTAGTTGTTGACATCATTGGCATAGAATTCACTCATTAAACAATAATCACAAACATAACTGTTCTAAGAGGTTAGATTGTTAGTTTAGATTTTCTACTAGACAGTATAAAAGGAAATGTATGACATTGTTGTGTTCCCTTACTTTTCTTATATACTAATCATAAGCACAAAAACAAAATCACAATACATTCTCCTCCCTGTATCATTCAGCAGTTTTTTTTCTCTGGAAGAGGGTTTAACATAAAAGGTTAAATTGAACTTCGATTATGAGTGCTCTTTATGTCAAATCTTCAATATCAAAAAGTATATCATCACACACTTCCACTTTGTTGTTTTCGGGAAGGAGTTGTTACCGATGAAGAAGAAAACTTTATGATCCTTCTCTGTATACATGATTAACTTAGCATATCACCTAGCAGAATAAATGGCGTCCTCTCATAAAGAATGATTCGTTCCAAAACACAAACAACAAACTATAGAGTTTCCCTCTACAACATGTAAATCTATATCAAGCCAAAGCATTCAATATTCTTATCAAAATACAAGCAGTGCACTGCACCCAAAATGGCACAAAGAAGTAAAAGCTAAGTAAAACATAAAGAATTACAATTCCTTGCTGTATAATGTGCTTTTCCATCTGAAAAAATTGTACCTTTTGAAAAAATTTAACTATTCAGATGCAAATAACATATTATCTTAGTGCAGGTTTTAGTTGATCAATAATTTTTTTGCTTAAAAGAAAAAAGGTTGTACCTTTTTCAATTGGGACTTTGAAACTTCAAAATCCCCATCATCATCTTCGTCCTCACTTTGAGCTGGCTTGTAATCTTCATCTTCATCTTCATCAACCACCTTCTTTTTCCCCTTTCTGTCCTTGTCTTTTTTCTGGGGTTTTGGGGAAGCACCCATCAAAGAAGTTGCCATTTTGTGCAGACCCATAGCCTTCATTCTTGCTCTGTTTTCTTCGATTCTCTTCATTCTTTGTTTCTCATAATCAGTGAGTTTTCCTGTTCTTTGGGGCTCCGCCGGGGACTCCTCTGAGTCTGAGTTTGTCTCTTCAGTTTCTGAGTCTGAGACATTCGATTTTGCCATTTTCTTGACAGTATAATTTGGGGTTTTCGATTGGATTTGAAGGGTTGCTGCCTCGTAAACGCGGGAACTGCGCAAGGGTTGTAACAGTGGCAAATCCGCGAATAGAAAACACAACCGAAAAAAGAAAATCAAATAGCTAAAATGGTCCCTTATGTTTAAAGTAGTTCATTAAGTATGCTTTTGTGTATTTTAGGCTGCTTTTAAGTTGTTTTTTCTTATGTTTGGTTGGCCAAAATTTTAAAAAATACCTTCGATTTCAGTACTTTAAAAGGCTTGAAGGATTTAAGAGCATCACTTTAATATTATTGAGAAGTTTATTAAATAAAAAGTAATATTTTAATGTGTTATATTATCGAAATTATCAAACAAAAAAATGTTCAACTTTATAAAAGATTTCATAAATGTTGGTTTTCAAAATAATTTTGGCTACATAGCTAGATAGGGGATCCTAAATTCAAATTACCATTATCATTTTTGAAGGATAATATGGTATGATTTTTTATTTTTTTTGATTTCCTACTCCGTGTTCGATATCTAAATGTGCTTTTTAATTAATTTAATGTCAACTTGCATTTAACTTTTAATTTTGAATGTGCATTAGTATATACTTAAATTTGTATAAAGTTAAACAAATAGTATATATTTTTTGTGACACATTCAAAATTGGAATACATAAAGCTAGTTGAATATAATTAAAGACACGTTTATATATTATAAGTTTTATTTATAATAGGGTTAAGTGATTTTTTTGTATTTTACTTGAAAATTTTCTTAAAAGAACGGAAGGCTTGATCATTATATTTTGTGGTCGAATAATTGAAATTTCCTTATTTTTTTAGTTAGAGAGTTGAATTCAAATTCAAATTATAAAAAAGAAAAAATAATTTTATTGGGAGCATTATTTGCCTTGAGCCTGTAATGTACAAATCGAATGAAAATTAATAAGGCTCGGTAAAAAAAAGAAAAATTGTATAAAATAGCAAACTATTATTTCAAATTAAATATTATAACCATAGTTTAATTTAATTGTAACTCGTAGCAAACAGTTGTCATTCGCCTCTCTCCCTAAATTTCTCACTCGCCACTCTCGTTTTCTCACTAGGCAGTCTCTCCCTCACTTCTCTCACTTTATACAAATACAAATGTATAAAAATGTGTTTGTGTTTATATAAAGCAAGAGAAAATTGTATATATGCATATCTTTTCGATCACCTCTCTCCCCAAATAATCTCGCTCGCCACTCTCACTCGCCTCTCTCACTTTACACAAACACAAATGTATAAATTGCATTTATGTTTGTATAAAGCGAGATAAAATTGTATATACAAATACAAATACAAATACATATATTTTCGTCATATACACTTATAATTATACAAATACAAATTTTCCTTGCTCATTTTTCTTGTCTTTTTCTCTTTTCGCTTTATACAAACATATATTATACAATTGATTATTTTGTATATGTATACCGAAACAGATTATACAATTAATTATTTTGTATATGTATACTGAAATATACATATTAATATGTTTGTTATGGAGCACAATTGTACAAATTATAAATATAACATACAAATATGATTTTTATTAAAAAAAAAAAAAAAGAAGGAGAGTATAGGCAACAAGCATGGCCGTTAAAAACAAGAAAAGGGATGGGCTTATTCTTATGTGTAGCACACGGTTCAAGAATACCAACCCTTCCCGTCTTTATCAATTACCTGTGTTTATACATATATCCATGACCTTCTCTCTCCACTTCCCATTGACAATGTCGAATCTTGATTTCTTCCTTCAAATACACTTCTAATAATCCCTTAAATTAACCTCTATGAATACCCATTATCCCATTTCATCTATGGCTTCTTCTATAGATTTTGATAGATTTAAGGTGATTCCACTCTCCCTTACTTCCATCTGCAGTTGCCACTCTCATCATCTTCCTTCTACATCATCTCAATTTCATCATTCTTCCACAAGAACCTTAAGTTTAAGCCGACCCAGATGTTCAATTTCAAGAATTGGGTTGTTTCTTGATGGGTCCAGAGTTACAGAGGTTTCGGGTATACCAAGAAGCATCTTCTTGAAACACCCTCGAATTATCACAGCTGTTGCTCGTGCTGAACCGGGCCACCTTTTCGATGATGAATCCAAAGAGGTAAACATTATCTAGTTTTTTTTTTTTCAAGTTTGGCTAAAGTGTTCTCTATCAGTGTAGGGATAAGTATGATTGATATCTCTAGTTTTAAAGAATTCTTGATATGTGACAAATTTCATGTAAGTGAAATAGTAATAGAATGATTTGACTTTAGCTTTGTTTGGCATTGAGGTATAGTTGATTCATTGATTTCATCAATATAGTTGTCTTCTACTTTTGATTGTCCTTTAGATTAAGAAACAAGTGAACTTCTGCAAAGATCATGCTAGTAATTATTTTAGTTGTCTATCAGGCCAAACAAAATTGACATTGATGACACTGAGTGGCTCAGATTTTAACATTAGCTCTAGTTCTAAGTTAACTGTTGCATTAACCAACGGGTATGGGTGGCTGTTTGATCAAATTAATCACATAAGGGAGCTACTTAAGATTTTTTTTCTTATCTTGGTTTGATCTATGCATGCCGTGGTCAAAGCAAAACTGTCTGGCAAATCCATCAATGTTAGAGGGGTGCAACTTGTATGCAGTTGCTTTGGAGAAATATGGTTTAGGAGAACTAGTTTGTAGTTGGATAAACTATGATCTGCCTTTTATTTTCCCAAAGATCCCTCCTTTTAAAAAGAGAGTTAGTTTGCAGCGCAAAACTTGAACTAATATAGGGTTTCTAATTTATCCGCTAGTGTTGTTAATTTTTCTTCCATCAAAGTTTTTTTTTTTCATTTCTTTATGATGTTATGATGCAGAGGAATAGAGTGGTTATTTAGTGGACTTAGAAGTCAAAAGTTTGTGTTTTATTAGGAGAAGGTCGATAGTCGAAGATGTATCTAATTGGTGAAAGAAAAAAAAAGTGTATAGCTTAGCTGCCTTTAAGAGAAAAGATGAGGGGGGGAACACTTTTGAGGATAAGATTATTCATTGGAGAGAGACATTTGAGGTGAGAGTATAAAACAACAACTACGCCTTAGTCCCAAATTAGTTGGAGTCAGCCATATGAATCAATTTAATCTTAACTTATGTCACCTTATACCAAATAAAAATAAGTAAAATAAAACAAAATATATATATATATATATAGTAGTAATAATAGTAATACCTGGTAAAAAAATATTAAAAGTTCTCGATATCTTTACTGGCCATGTTCTCTTATCAGTCAAGAAGGGAAAGGGTATTTCTCGGGATCTATTATAATTTATAACAATAAATGGACTAAAGGCTTCTGAGTGATTGAGGGATGCAGCAGAGTGAAATAAACCTATGTAATGGTGGACAAAAGTGAATCAACAGGTGTTTATTTTGAAAACTGGTATAATGTTTAATGTAGGTGTGTAAGCCTATGCGTAAGAGTAGGGGGGAGGGTCCATTATCCACCGAGTGTCGAATGGTCATCGGGTATTTATCAGTTGTAAAAAAAAGGTGTATAGCCTAAGTGCAATTGCGGACTTGATATTCCTAAAATTCACGTGTGATACTAGGTGAAGTGCAATGTGATAAACATTCACCTTTTCCTGGAAACTGTATTTAGAATGTGTGTGAGTATCTAGTGTGGTGTTCTGACTAGAAAACTATAAATATCTATAAGCCTGTAACCATTTCTATTACCAATAAAGAGAAACTATAACCATTTCTTTATTTTGGAGTATCTTTGGTTGTGTCAGTTGTTAGTTTGTTGTCCCTTTTGTAATGCTCATGGGGAAGGCATTAAATATGGGAATCTGCCTTTGCTTTTTGATCCTGTATTCATTGTTTGCTTTTGGGTAAGTGTCCAAGTGATTGTTTAACTTCTGGGGTCGCTACTTCCAAGATTAGCATCAGAGTCAATGTCGCAAGACAACATGTGTTATGTTCAGACTTTTCAGATAATTGAATTGGAACCACTGAGATAATTATGTTGTAGGAAGTTAACAAACGCAACAGTACACCGGCGGGGGAAATTCCCACTTCTGAACTTAAGGAGAAAAATAGTCAATTGAAGAAAAGGGTAGTCTTTGGACTTGGCATGGGTATTTTAGTCGGAGGTGTGGTATTGACTGGAGGATGGGTTTTCACTGTTGCCCTTGCTGCTGCTGTTTTTGTGGGTGCACGAGAGTACTTTGAACTGGTTAGGAGTCGTGGAATTGCTGATGGAATGACTCCTCCTCCTCGATACGTATCAAGAGTTTGCTCTGTCATCTGTGCTCTCATGCCTGTAGTCACACTGTAAGTCATTAACATCTTTCTCAATTTTCTCTCTCTAATAAGTAAACATACTTCTGATTTTCTGGTAAACCACTTTAAACCTCAGAAGACACTGTGCCATTAATTTCTTGCCACAGATATTTAGAAACTGGAACAATAACAATAAGATTTCATGCCAGCATCATCTTTTGTATGTCGATGGATCATTGCTATTATCTAGACTGCTTTAAACAAAATTGTATGTGCTTGGACAATTTATTTTTGGCATTTACTTTCATGTTACCAATTCAATATTCGTTCTTTTTGAGAATGGTAACATGTTATATTTATCAACACCCGAACTAGGGCTGGTATCTAATATTTTCAAGGACAAAATCCCCTGTAATTCTTACAAGGAGTCACAAAAGTATACCGATGATTCTTCATCATCTATAAACTGTTCTTTACAGCAAAAATGAAAAAGAGAAATGCAGGTACTCTTGATTTTCTGGGTTGAGCGGCTCTTGCCTTCAAAACATCTTGCAATCCTCTCCTTCCAGATTGTCCACCATATGCAAGCTAGAACAACCTTCCACCATTCCTTGTGACATATTTTCCCCCTTATTCTGTTCCAGGTGCATATTAGGCCAAATGTAGAATAAATGGCCATTGGTTTCAGCTTCCCGTTGGAATAGAAAGCATCCGAGACTGTACTGAAAGCCTCTTCTCTGAAGAATTTCCTGTGTGAGCAAGCTTTTCTTATT